TTGTTAATTTTGGATTGGTAGAGATTCCAAGGAGTCATTCTGGTCTGGTGTCAGATAACAAGCATTTATTTAGTGTTTACTGTATGCCAGACAATGTGGTAAGTGAATTACAGGTATATCACTACATTTCATCATTCTGGTATCAGTATAAGCCTCACTGTCCTATTTTACAGATGAACTAAGGGTCAAACTACTTAAATACCTTGTGCCAGGAAGGACTATGACAGGAATCAAAAGTGGCCTAATCCTAATTATAGTCACAGAAAGAAAACTAAATGGGAATAAAAGTTCTAACAAAGAATCCTCCTGCATCAGTTTTTAACTTTTGTTGACCGTACAATTTTGTTCAGTCAGCCATAAAAACAATATCGTAGTAGGAATAGGTGGGAAGTTGAAGACATGCCAGGAATTTAGCAGTACAAGTTGGCGAGGAGGGGATGAAGTTAAAAGAATGTCCAAGTATGACAGAGATTAAAGAAACAGAATTAGACGAAGAGGCCGACTTCCTTGTTTACTGTCCAAAGGGCACTTGAAGTTCAACCTGGCTTTGACAAGCTGTGGCACAAATGTAGCCCTGTCCAGTGGAATGATACAGTAATTGTGTATGATGATTGAAGTTCAGTAGTTTGAAGCAGGCCTATCCAGTCAAGTAAGTTCTGGTCAGTGAAAAATTACCAAAAGCAAACTCATACCTTCTCTGTACTGGTTGAGAGTTTGGGGAAAGTTATAATTTTACTTAGGAAGGAAAGCCAGTGAAGCCCAGTGGCACACAGAAGACATTAGGCAGGAGGGTGAGTGGCAGAGATCTAAGTCTACCATGACTAGAGCTCAGCCCAGACACATCTTCAGCCAGAGAGCACAGTGGTGTGAGTCCTACTGATGGGAGCTGAGGAGATACCTAATCTTCCTCAGATTTGGCTCATGAACTGGGACAGGCTCTTGAGGTGGATATAGGGAGCTATGATTTGGAAATAGTAAAAGAGCAGGGTAGATCACTAAGACCATCTAGAGTGGTTTAGCTCCATATATTACTCAGAGTCAAGCTATCTTTGAAACCATTAAGGAAAAAAATTTACAGCATCAGCTTACTCCTCCATTTATCACAAAGCAACATTTTCTGAATAGGCAATCTTGCTTTAAAAAGCTGCCAAAATTCAGGGCTGCTAATGGAAAAAACCAAAAATTAAATTGCCTAGCAAGAGATTTAGCCATTCTTTTTGGCAAGACTTTTTTTTTTTATACTTTTGTGTTGTTTATAGATTTTCTTTATTGAAGTTCTTTTAAGAACATATTCTTTCCTTCTATGATGTTTTTAATATTGTTGCCCAAAAGTTACTGTTTCTTATTTACACTGTGTCAACTCTTTATTTTCTTTTTTTTTAATTTATAGATAAATCACTTTCTACATGAAAAGTATATTTTGAGGAGTACTAGGGACTGAATTTTGTCTTCCCAAAATTTATGTGCTGAAACCTTAAATCCTAAAGTGATGATATTTGAAGGTGGAGCCTTTGGAAGGTAACTAAATTCAGTGAAGTTCAGGGTGTGGGCCTTCATGAAGGGATTAAAATGCAGATGAGAGAGATCAGTCTCTCTGTCCCTACACACCGAGGAAAGGCCATTAGAGGACACCAGGAGAGGGCACTAATTCAAAAGCTTAGACAAAGCTGTCCAGAACTTGACCTCAGTGACAGTTTGAAGTTGGACTTCTGGCCTCCACAACTTTAAGAAAGTAAATTTATATTGCTTAAACAAATCATCCTATTATATTTTGTTGTGACAATCTGCCTTAGTCCATTTTCCGTCCAATAATATAGCACCTGAAGCAGAGTAATTTATAAAGAAAAGGGTTTTTTTCCCTTCATAGTTCTGGAGGCTGGGAAGGCCCAAGATCATGTAGCTGAATCTGGGGAGAGTCTCATTTGGTTCCAACTCATGGCAGAAAGTGAAGGTCAAAGGGGGCACACTCAAGACAGCACAAGGAGCGGACCTGCTTTATAACAGGCTGCTTTCAAAATAATTCAGTCCCATGAGAGGATTCGCTCATGTGCAAACGGCATTAACCCACTCCTGAGGGCTCTACTCCCATAATTCAAATACCTCCTACTAGGCCCCACATCCAAGCTCTGCTGCAGTGAGGAATTAAGGTTAAAATACCTGACCTTTGAGGAGATCCAGCCAAACCACGATGCAAATTAAGAGAAGTCTTAAAACTGGGGTTTTTATTAAACATTTCTGAAGATCATTCTTATATAATAAAGCCTCATGCAATTTTTTTGTGATTTTTTTTCCACCTACAAAATGTTGAACATTCCTACTAAGGATGTCATGAACCAGTGTGTTGACTTTTCTGTGAGGCACTTATGAAACAATCAGGGTTTGGTGAGCCCTGGGGAAGACACAAATTAATGTTTATTCACCCTAGTTAGGGTACAAGTGACAGACCCAAAAGTTCCAACTTGGTGAATCAACAAATTTATAGGGCTTATGGCTCCAGAAAGATGAGTCTCTCGCGATGGGGGAGGCATGGTAGAAAGACGTTGGAACAGAAAACAATAGTCACATTGCTCACATCTCTAAGCACTAGTGGGAAGCAGATTCTGGAAGTGGGGCAAGGCTAGGCACTCTCTAGCCTATCCCCAGCGAAGTGCTTCCTCCAGCAAGGCCACATCTCCTAAAGATTCCATGACTTTCCCCAAACAAGGCCATCAACTGACCAAGGGTTGACATATTCAGAGCCTATGGGGGACATGCTCATTCAAACCACCACACTCTCATTACTGTCATGCCAGGATTGTATCAGTGGCTATTTATTGCCTGGAAGGTTGATATTATAGTATACAGAGTCCTCCACTGGGTGAGGGTGATGATTTTCTCCCTCAGTAGCCAGCATAGTACCTCTGGCACTATGAAAGCCAGCCAGTGGGAGGAAGCTTCCAGGTCAGTTCTACCTTGATTTCTGAATGTCCTGCAAACAAAGTGTGTGGTGTCTTCAGTAATTTGCCATACCACCTAGTTCTGGTGGGTAATGAGAGCAATGGCTATTTTCTGTATTGCTTTGGGGGCCTCTGATTTCTCCCTGGTCAACAACACATAGTGAAGTATCCCACAAACTGGCTCAGTCTTGTGGATCACTTGCAAGTATTCACAGCTGCCCTGATGATGGCAGTAATGGGTGTTATGCTTAGGGGACAGTGTTCTACTGGAAAGAAAGTACTAAGTGATACTTTCCTACTGCATGAAGTATCTGCTGTATGTAACAAGCGTTCTCACAGAATCCTTTCTGCTGCACCCTTTGATTGCAGGCCTGACTGGGGAAGAAATTGTGTTGCTCTGCTCCTAGCCCCGGCTATATAGAAGACAGGAAAACGTGAACTGTTTGTGTTGGGACATTGCACTATGAAAGGGCTTCAGTTGAGATGCCTTTGGTTTGACTTTTCTCCCAATGATATAAGCTATTTTCAAATTGCCATTTTTTTCTTACAAGTTAACAGAATGAGTTGGAAATTTTAATTCATTTCTGCCTAGATATTGTGCTAGTTTTAATCTATGAGTTTCTAGCCAAATTTTAGTGGAAAATATTTACTTAAGTGCCCAAATATAAACATTCTCATTCACACCTAATTAAAAATATGGCTCATTCATATATTTAGACTTGTAGTTTAGAGTGCTTGGCCAGGCCTGGTGGTGCAGGCCTGTAATTCCAACCACTCAGGAGGCAGGAAGATTACACATTCAAGATTTGTCTTGACTAATAGAATGAGTTCGATGCAAGCCTGGACAACTTGGACTTTGTCTCAAAAAAATAAAAAAAATAGAAAAGAAGGGATATAGACAGAGCTCAGAATTGCTTAGCAATAAACAAAAAATTATTTACTTATTTGAGGTAGATAACATAAAATGTTTTGTTGAGAGTGAAAGACAATATGTTTTGTAGACATTTCCATTTATTGAGATAGGGTTAACTTCAATTGAGATAGGGTTAACTCAATTTCTTCTAAATTGAGTCCCAGGATAGCTCTGACTTTTGGATCAAAAATTTTAGGATACGTTATTTGATGAGACACATTATTACTAAATCTGGACTTGTACTTACCTGTTGAACCCTCCCCCCGCCGGCCCCCAATGCTGAACCCACGACCCCCTGTGCTCTAGGTAATTAAGCCATCTATCTACCCTTCACTAGGCCGCAACCCAGCTGCAGTACCCCTACCCCCAAATTGCCATCTTCAGACCTCAGCCTTCCCTAGAGTCGGGATTAGAGGCCTGTGCTGCAACGTCTTACAGAAAGTGTGATGGTGTATATTACTCATGAAACAGTGCTTAATGAATCTTCTTCTCTTTTCGTGTGGACAGAGTGGCCTGGCAAGTGCAGTCCGAAACCACTGATTGCAGTTTGCATTCTACAATGTAGATTTGAGTCATGCTTAGTGTGAGGACGCCAGGATGTTCATTTGAAAGATTGCGATAATATCTATGACACAATACAGTTTAGGATGACCTGAGCTCACAAACGAACCACAATTCATTTTTTCTAAGTACCCGAATCCGGATATATGCAATGGGGTCAGAAATTAGTGGGAGAAAATCTCAACCAAGCCATACTGCGATCTGGCCCTAAGATCTTGGGCACCTGGAGTGCGTCCTGGCACCCGCTGCCCTGAGGCTTTGCCCACTCCATTCTTACGTCTGAAGCCCGGGAGCGCCGGCTCCAGTGCTGGAGACCTCGCTGAACCTGGCCTGCCCAGGTCTCATCCTGAAACACACGCCGGTACAGCACAACTGCGCCCCACTTCCCCTCGCTCTGCTCTGAGGAGGCTGGAGGCGTGGCATAGGCCCTGCAGCCAATGAGCGCCGGTCTCTCTTTCCGGCCGACGATCCGACCAATCGGAGCCGATTGTGTCATCTTCGGCTCCATTCGGTTTTTTTCGCTCATGCGGGTAGCTCGGGGGCCTCCGCCACTAGAGAGACGCTTTTTTTTTTTCTTTTCTTTTTTTCCATGTGTTCACTTCCGGGTCCGGCGCCGCTCCGGATGCTCGAGGCCAAAGGATGTTTGACCTCCGGATAAGCGAGGCGCCGCCGTGCATTCATTCTCCGTTGCCTCGGTGGCTACAGCGGCGGCCCGGACGGCGACTCGGCGCTCAGCGGCGGCGGTAGGAGGTGTCGGCAGCGGCGCGGAGAGCGAGTGGGCGCCGAGCCGCGGCTCTCCCTGCCCACCTTCCCCGGCCTCGCTCACTCGCCAGCTCCGGCGCGCGGCTCGCTGTCCTCGGCCGCGGGCTGCTGGGATGTGCCGGCGCTGACGGACGGACGGACGGCGGATCGGCCGAACGCTGCTGCGGCTCAGAGGTAAATCCCGGGCGGCCGAGGCTAGCTGGCTCCGGGAGGTCGAGGTGGCGGCGGCGGGCAAGGCCCGTCGGGCGGCGCGGGCCGCGGGATGCGGGCTCCGGGCGGGCCACGGGAGGGGCCGGGGCTCCGCGCTGCCGCCCAAGTTCCCGGGGCGGCGGCGGCCCGGGCTGACCGCGGGGTCCGCACCTTCCGAGGGCCGGTGGGGCGGAGGGTCGGCGAAAACTTCCCGTCGGGGCTGGTTCCGGGAGGGGGCAGGGATTTACCGATTTGACAGAGCGTTAGAGCGAGCTGCAAACTTAGCCGAGCCTTGGGAGGCAACAGAGACTGCCCTGGGCACCGTGGTGGTGACGGCTTGTTTACCCACCTCGAAGGGAAGCGGCCCCTGCAGTCACTCGTCGTGGTCCACATTTCCCTGATGCAGGGCTGGGATGGAGACGTGTGTGCTCCCTGGGTCCCGGGGAGTCAGGCCTGTGCCATCATCATTCCAGCTCTCCCACTTCATGCTTCAGGACGAAAAGTTAATGGGTGAGAGAAGTCTGTGTGGGAGAAAACTGCTGTTGCTACATGCTGGGAATTAGTTTTAACTCTGTTGTGATGAGTATCCAGGCTGTTAAGTCAGTGCCCCCCTTAAACCTGTTCAACGTGTACTTCATATAAGGAAAGTTGAAACCTTTAAAATATAAATTAAGACAGTGATTTTTTTTCTTCCTCGTGATTGTGCATTTGACTACTATAAAATGGAATATTGTTTGAACTAAAAAAATAAAGTATATTTCTTTGAAGAATATTGACTTTCCTTTAAACACAGCGTGGAAAATAGTCTTATAAAAATAATTTAAAACTAGAACGATTAAGACTGGTTTAAGAAAACATTTCCTGTGAAAAATAAAATCTGATGTGCTCCATTCCTAATTGCTTTCTTTGAGATGTGCCTACAGTATTTTACAGTGATTTCCAAACTTTGCCTCAGCTGCTGTCCTGACCTAAGATATACTGTCTTCATGTCTTGTATGTTAACCTTTATAGTTGCACAAAGATGAAAATTATATTTATAGGCGTTGGAAGAGAGGTGTTACCAAGTACATTATGTGGCTTTGACATACATTCTTAATAGAATATATAAATAGTTTGGGTTTCAGTGAGCTTGTATTTCTGGATATGCATCAGGTAGAAGGAGTACCTATTGGAATGGGAGCAAAAAGGTTTATTCCATTTATGTATTTTGGCATTTAGCGACAGGGTCTTGCTGCGTAGCCTGGGTTGGCCTTGAATTAATTCTTTAAAGAGTTTTAAAAAATATTTTTATTTCATGTGTATGAGTGTATTACCTGCATGTATGTGAGTGCACCTGTGTCGTGCAATGCCACAGAGGTCAGAAGAGGGCTGTGGATTCCCCTGGAACTGGAGTTAAGTAGCCACCATATGGGTGCTGGGAATCGAACTTGGGTCCTCTGCAAGAGCTGTCAGTGCTCTTAACCACTAAGCTATCTCTCCAGCCCTTGAATTAATTCTTGATCCTCCTGCCTCAGCCTACTACCTTGCTTTTAATGTTGATAGAGATGAAATCTTTTTTGAGGTTGGAGGATCTTGAGGAAAGATTATTGATGATTTATTGTGTTTTTGGACTATCTCCCTGTTTGTTAGCTTAAAAATTAATGAATTATGTAATTACTGACATTATCATTATTACATTTGCCAGTGTTAACAGTATATGAACAAAATCTTCTAAACCTGAAAGTCATTTGTTACTTCTTTCAAAATAAAGTACTGGGACTGGAAATAAGGAATACTTTGTGAACCCGTACGTTTACCTCTTGGTGATGCTGGAAAAATGGGTGGAATATGAAAGTGAATGGAACTTAGTGGCTGCCTTCAAGGCAGGCTTGCTCACAAATAATTGTAACACAAGATTCCTGTGAGTTTTACTGGAGGTAGATGGAAGTGTAAGAGAGTGTGTGTGTGTGTGTGTGTGTGTGTGTGTGTGTATGTGTGTGTGTGTGTGTAAGATACTAATTTGAAGGGAGTTATAAATGAGTGTGGAGCTGTAACACTCTAGTTGGGCCTTAAATATTTTCATAGGGGTGGGGGTGGGGACAGTACTTTCCTAAGTGAAGGGAACAGACTGAACACAGGCTTGTGTCTGGGTGTTACAGCACCTGTTGAGCTGGATGTAAAGCTGCTATTAGTCTCCTTTGGAAGAGGGAGCTGTAAAAGTAGGTGGAGAACAGGCCATGGAGTCCAGAATGCCAAGTATTTAAAAATGAGTCAGTTTGAGCTGTGAAGGTCTAAATGTGTGTTTTCTGTGGTGACCGTAAGTAGACAAATAAGACTTGTATGTTTAAGGAACAATTTATAACAAAATAGTCAACTGACTATCTTCATGTTACTAGGAGAACAGAAATGTACACAATCCAAAACAGCTCATACATGGCTTTGTTGTTTTCCTTTACTTACATTGGAATATGGGTATGTTTGGTAATCTGGTAATTGGTTTTACATGAAATTAATCAGGATTGTAAAAGCTACTCAGGAAGAAATGGGAAGCTCTCCAATGATTTCTTGGCCTCATCTAATTTATCCTGTATTTCCCCCCTGCTGGGAATAGATCATTACTATGGGATAGTTTTTGGTTTAAGATTTTTTTTTTTCTTTCTTTTCAGAATAGGACAAGTATTGGTTTAATTAGTAAGGTCATCTGAAAACAATGTATATAACTAACTAAAGGGAGTGTTGAAATATTAAACAATGCAACAAAATATGGGCTGTACAAAATATTGTACAGTTTTGTTTCTATTACTGCATTTGAAGGTGAGATTTGCTGTGGATAAAGTGAGATATAAAAAAAAATTCAGTATTTGAAAACAATGAAGTATAACAGCAAGATAATAAAATGAGAAATGCCTACAGTTTCAGATGAGATTTTTAGTAAACTTACCACCTGACCATAAACTACTTTAATTCCCAATTAATCATTATCAAAGAGTGCTTAGAAAATACCACCCTCATAACACCAGTTTCTGAATTCTTGAAGAATCATGATTCATGTTACAGGGAATACCTGTTTTTTTTTTTTTTTTTCTAATTATTTCCCTCATAATCTTCAAAAAGGACTTACACTATAACTGAATTTGTATTATCTTGAACCCTCCCCCTAAAAAAATCTCATTACAGTTTACTTTGTGTCTACTTTGTATAAGACCACATTGATCCTCTTAAGATCTCTGAATTAGATAGTGTGATTCCTGTTTTTGAGAGTAGGAAAGTCTTTAGTGAATTTGAATATATATCTTGAGACCAACAGAATGCACATTTGAGTACTATTTTCCCTCTGACATCACCGTCACCAACACTGACCCCCCCATCTTCTTTTTGTCTTTACTCCATCAGTTGGCATTTAGCAGTATTATTTGATACTGTAGTATGTTTGGATGTTGGCACTTTGAGAAATGTCTTTGGAAATGGCATTTTGGGGGTATGTGTCTTTTTCTAGCTGCAAGGACTCTGTAGGCACAGAAAGTATGGTTTCAATCCCACGTTCCTCTGACCACAGGACAGAATCATACTTGATATCTTCTTTTTGGAACCAATTGTGTATTATTTGTGGTTTTTTTTAAAGTATTTTATTTATTTGTTATTTAATTGTATGCGTATGAGCGTATTACCTGCATGTATGTAGTGCACCCATGTTGTGCAATGCCTGGGGAGGTCAGAAGAGGGCATTGGGTCTCCTGGAACTGGAGTTTCGGACAGTTGTTAGCTGCCATATGGGTGTTGGGAACTGAACCTGGGTCCTCTTTGAGAACAACCAGTAGCCTTAACCACTGAACCATCTCTCCAGCCTGTTACATATTATATGTTAATGTGAGGTGACTTTGGGGAGGCCCTGTGAATTACTCAGAAAATATAGAATAAGGCCTGGGGATGTAGCTCTGTGGTAAAGTGCTTGTCTAGAAAATAAGGAATGACAGAGATACATGTGGAGATTGATAATTTTTAGACATGGGAGGCTTCTGTTAAATATGTTTTTCCTAGCTCTCTTCTCAAAGGTAGAATTTAGAAACTGTATGTGTTAGAAGTTCCCTCATATCATGGGCCATAAGGAAAGCATGTTCTAATTATGTTCTTAGACCATAATAAGTGGTTCTATTTTCTTTTCCCATTCCCTGTCACCTAGAAGTCTTAACAATGAAGTGTTAATGTATTTTGGGCAGATAGAGATACTTATTTGGCCATTTTCTTTACTAATGATGTAACCCAATTATAATTAAGTTTAATGAAAATTTGTGACTGAGTCATGTCCATTTTTTTAAACTTTTAATGGTTTAAGACAAATCTCATGACAGCTATTTTTCTAAATATTTAATGCTCTTTTTCTGTATAGTAATGTCAGACTTGAAATTGCACTCAAAATTTTTACATTTATTTAGCTGATTCTAAGTTACAGAGTAGTGCTTTCCTTAGCTAGTCGCTTCCTTTGGGGTGTGGAGGGGCATGGGGGGATTGAGGTTGAGGCTGATTCTGCCATTATGGTCTTCATCAAGATTCAGCAAATTCATATAAAGTGCCAAGCTATGATGCTATATAAACTCCCATTTCAGAAATTGCTGGTATGTATCAATTGTTAGAGGGCTGATTGGTGGGTAGAATAACCAAAGCCTCTTGGGAAGAGCCCATTACAGGGGAATGTTTCTTTACTGACCTCTGCTTAAACCCACTCATTAGAGTGAATGGTACGCTTTCTTCTCCCTGTAGATTAGCTGACCGAAGCCCATGTGGCACAGAGTGGCAGTAAACTATGCTCTGGTTTGCTCTTGAGCTTTTATTCCTATGAGTTATCCCTACCAAGAATCATTTGCACTTATGCTCCACAAACTGTTAGTGGCAGTTTCACTTGATTGTGTAACTATACAGAATAATAAAACATTATTCTGCAAATTCTGAAGGCAAAAACGTGTTTGTGTGAGAACCTTTGGCTGCTTTGAAAACAGGAATGGGGCAAA